GAGACAGAGTATTGCTATGTAGTTCAGACTGTTCTTGAACTCACTATGGAGCCCAGGCTAGCCTTAAACTTGTAGAGATCCTCCTGCCTCAGCTTCCTGGTAAGCGCTGAAATTAAAAGTGTGCACCAGAGTTTCAGTTTTGCTCAAAGAAAAAAACCAGGCATGGTGGCACACACCTAAAATCCCAGCTATTCAGGACGCAGAAGTATCACAAATTCAAGGCCAGCCTAGGCAACTTAGCAAGATCCTCTTTCACAAATGTTGGGGGAGTGCGCTTGGGCTGGGAACATAGCTCAGCAGTAAAGCACTTGCCTATCAATGCACAAGGCTTGGATTCGGTTCCCAGTAGGGACCCGGAGGAAAGGATACAGAAGAAACTACAGTCTCCATGAATGTACAGGATCTAAGGACAACACTGAAGAGTACTTCAGGTACTTACGTAAGGTTGAATTTGAAGTTGAACTGCCAAGTGTTGATTCCAGAAGGATATTCTCCCTTCTCATTTGTGAAGGTTAGGCCCAGCTGGATGATTTTTAAAAGGTCAACATTGCACCGCAGAAGCTGATACTGGTAATCTATGGAACTACGAAATTCACCAATCGGTCGGACCACAACACCTGGGAATTCTGTGTCCTGGAAAAGAAAAAAGCCTCTCATTATAAGGCGCTGATGACAAACCTTTTAGAGCTTGCAACAATACAAACAGCCCACGGTGGCGTGCACGTGCTGTAGGTTCACCACTAACTTTACAAGGCTTCACAAAATGGGATACTGAATGATTATTCATAAATAAACTATTACCTCAATCTATAAAAATGACATGCTGGAACACAAAAATCTATCTCAAAATAATGATTTTACTGCTATCTACTGAAAAAGCACCAGAATCATGGTGTTTGCACAACTTAAAGATCCTGGGCAGGGTGAGGCAGAGCAGCTGGAAAGCTAAAGATAGGTATGCAGCCAGGAACATTCTAAGTTAACAGTCATGTTCAGCTTGGGTGATAAAACTGGACAGGATCACACAGGCCTGACAACTAAGCTAAGGACTTACGCTGAATCTCTAAAGCACAAGTCACAAACGACAAGCCACCCACGTAAAGGAATAAGGAGAGCTGACTACGAACATGGTAACCAGTCAAAGGCACTGGGTAAAATGAATAGCACACCCCTCTCAGGGATGGGGGAGGCAGGAAAGAGCGGCAAAGCAGAAGTAAAAAGGGTCAAGATGCAGCGTGTGTAGGTACCAAATTCCCCACAAGGAACATGCTTATTATAGATTGTCAACAGACACTGATAAAAAGGGAAGACAAAAAAAAGAACACCTCATCTGTACAAGAGGCCACGACCAAAACACCCGCCTCGCTCTCTACTCGATGTCAGGCAGGAAATGCACACCGTACACTGCCGGATTCTCCCATGCTTTCCAGGTGCTACAACCTGGGTCTAAGGGAGGTCTCAGGACGTCATGTGAGACAGGGTCTCGCTTTATAGCTCAGGCTGGCCTTGAACTCATGATGCAGCCCAGGGTGCCATCAAAATTAGGGCAATCCCCCTGCCTCAGCCTCTCATGTGCTAGGAATATAGGCATGAGCCATCACACTCGGCCCGTGATATTTACATGCTGGCAAACTTTTTTAAAATTTCTAAATACACTAGACAGTCAAATTCACCGTATCTGTGGTGTATATGTACCCTATCACCGACACAATTTCTGCTTTTAACACTTTCAAACAGCTGGGAGTGTAGAGGCAGAATACTGGCCTAGCAGCTGTGAGCCCATAGATTGGATACCCACCATCACACACACAAAAAAAGAACAATAACAAACAGGTAACACTATAAAACAATCTAAGAGCCAGGCGTGGTGGCATACACCAGTGATCCCAGTACGAAGGTGGCTGAGGCAGGAGGATTACCATGAGTTAAGGCCAGCCTAAACTACATAGTTAAGTTCAAGGTCAGCCTGAACTACACAGTGAGATCCTGTCTCAAAAACCCACAAAAAGAAAAGAAAAACTAAGAAACTAGAAGTTAACACCCTTTGTCAGAGACACTAGCTATCTTTTTTTGTTTGTTTGTTTTTGGTACCAGGGATTGAACTCTAGTCTTTCCACTTGCAAGGCAGGTGCGGGAACCACTGAGCTAAATCCCCAGCCTGACACTAGCTATCTTGATGTTTCATAGTAACAACACAAACTTTCATCAACTTTAACTTATTATGTCTTTAATAGAATATAACTAGTTCTTCTCAGAATCTCACATGAAACATTACCTAAGTCATACAGGAAGGGGAGTCAAGAGAACACAGCTCCTTACCATGGCAATGTAACTGTAACTGAGCACAATTTCGCGGATCTTCCTCATCTCTTCTTCTAGATTGCTGGCCCAGACTTCACAGATAACCTGACTATTCTCCACAAGTGCTGCAGGCATCCTGAAGAAACCTCCTGGGAAGTCGCTTTAGGGTAACTATGTGAAGGTATGAGGACGATCTGATCACCAGACAATGTTTGATCTGATCTAGATATAAAAACATATTTGAAATCACATAAGTACACAATGATATACAATATCAACAAAACAAAGAGAATATTTATTTTGAAAACAATATTTTATCAGACTGATAGAATAGGCAGGTAGACATGAGCTGCAGAGGTAAGAACAGCTGAGTCCAGGAGGAAATCCTGGCACAGAACGTGGTCTCAACACCCTGATTCTGCAGGTGCACAATGTGCCCTCACAGGCACCTCATACCTCACACAGGTGTGTCACACCCAGGTACACCGGCTGGGATCAATGTACTCCAGACCCCATCAGACCCCACATCACCTCCTTCCACCTCACTGACATGACCTGCATCGTGGCTTTGACCCTGCCCCGTGTTCTCTGGCCACCAGATTTGTTCCTGCCAAGACTTTGTAGATTCCAACAGCCCCCATCCCAACCTGAGAGCGCACCCCCCACCCGCCTGCTGAGGGCAACACCACTAGCCACCCCGCCTGCAAGTTCTAGGAAAACAACAGGTAAACTAACCCGGGTCCTTTCTGCAGCTGTCAACTCTGCCTGGAACCCTCCAAGTGTGGCGTCCTCTTCAGTAAACTTCCGCAACTCTCTCCGCACACCTGGCCCTCCCCAAGCTGCACACTGGATGTCTCCCTGGTGGACGCTGCCAACCACACACAGCTGCCCCTCCGGCACTGCCCATTCTCCCTCCTTTAGAAGCACTCTCCCAGATCAATCACGTGCTTATTATACTTGGGCCCCTGAACCTACAACTTCTTACCTGAGTTTCCTTCCAGGGACCTCCTCACAAATCTCAAGAGGGTGCAAGAATCAAGTCAAGCTGCTCAGGGCAGACGCAACAGATTGCCAGGACAGGCAGACACAGCAATCCAGCAACACTTGCTTCCTTTATTAATCTAAGCTAAAATATTACCGACGTTACATTTACTCCGCATTCTACATGACAGGAAAGCTTGCCTGTGTCAAGACACACACGAAAAAGCTAAAAGTGCTGGAGAAATTTTTGCCCAAGCACGCTTGAACACAGAGATGAAAGCACTACCCAGAACCCATTTTCAGCCCTCTACTATCTAAAGATGAAAATAGTCCCCTCTAACCACAGGTATGCTCTTATCCATGACTTTCATATCACTTTACATACAGACCAATTCAGGGAACTATTTCCAGAAGAATGAATCACTTCTGCTGCCTGAAATGTACCTGGGCTCTCTGAAAGCCTGAAATAATATGAACCTAAACTCTCACTCAAGTCTCTACACCCACGACGAATAAGGGCACAGGACTCCCCAAAAGGGAATTTCTTTTTCTGTACAACCCAAAACTCCAATACACCTAGTGGCAATTAACTGACTACAGGGCTTCTTTAAAACTTTTCCCCCAATCGCAGGAATCAAACTCAGGACCTTGCACTTGCAAGGCAGGCACAGCGCCACTGAGATGCATGCATCCCCGCCCCCGTTCTCTTCAGAGTTTTGGCAGGTACATTACGAGGTGAAATGTTTTAAGTGGTACGGACTAATTCCATTTGCTAATTTCAATTCTTTTTCTTTTTTAATGCACTGTTGACTGGTACATTTTGGGTATAAAATATGATAACATTCATCATTGGGAATTGTACCTTTACGTGATATATCTTGCTTCTATTTTTTTCCCCATTGCCCTGCCCTCCCTCCCGTCCCTCCATCCCTCCCTATTTACAAAGACTTTGTTTCCATTTTTTCTTTTACTCATATATATTCCCTTATCCTACCCCTCACATTTCCCCTTCTCCTCTGGGCCTTATCTTCCTATTTCATATTACCTATTATACATTAATTTCCATTCTTAGCCAAAACGAAAGCAAGAATTTAAGTTATTTGTTTGTTTTTGTTTTTTGTTCTTTTAGACAGGGTCTCACTCTGTAGTTGAGCCTGACCTGGAACTCACTATGTAGCCCAGGCTGATCTCGAACTCACAGGGATCCGCCTGCCTCAGCCTCCCGCATGCTGGGATTACAGGCATGCACCACCACACCCAGTTTAGAACTTAAATTATTAACCTCTACTTTTAAGTATATAATATGGTAAAGAAACCAAGCAGCAACTCTCCAATAAGAACAGAGAGGAAGGCAGGTATAAATAATTCAACTAGAAACAGAATGCCTCTGGAAACTGCAGAGGGGAACTACTCTGGAAGATAAAATTCAACACCATTTGGCCTCAGATTAATGCTGTTAATATAGCACAATCAATATAAAATCCTTAGAGTTATAAAAAGAACAAAAAAAGCTTATCCCAAGGGCATTTATTTATAAGGCAAGCCAACCACACAGATCTTCACTATAATAATGGGCTCTAGTATTTATATTCAGGAGAGGGCCAGGAATTTAGCTCGGTGGTTCCCCACCTGCCTCAAAAGCGCAACGTCCAGAGTTTGATCCCTGGTAACAAAAAATAAAAACAATAAAAATTAGAATCCTTATATTCAGGGGAAATTCCAATAAGCATTAAAACCAATGCGAGTAGTTACCAAAGGAAAGTCTTTGCTTTCTATTTTCAAGATCAGAAGATGCCACTGAGGAGGCTGAAACAGGAGGACCAGTGCAAGTTTAAGGTCAACCTGGGTTACACTGTGAGTTTCAAGGCTGGCCTGAACTAGAACAAGACCTCAAAAAAAAAAAAAACCTGGAATCCGGGCATGGTGGTTCACGCCTGTAATTCCAGCACTGTGAAGGCTGAGGCAGGAGGATCACTATGAGTTCCAGACCAGACTGGGCTACATGGTGAGCTCCAGGTCAGTCTCAACTACACAGTGAGGGCCTGTCTCAAAAAACAAAAAAGTAAAACTGGAAAGTGGCACACACCTATAATCCCAGCACTCAGGAGGCTGAGGCAGGAGGATGGTGTGAGTTCAGGCCAATTTGGGCTATGTCTATTTATTCTAGGTATCTTAAATAGATTGATTATTAGATAGACAGACAGAAATTTCTTAATGATAGAATTCATTTCTTCTCTTCTTTTACTCCTAATAAAGACTTGCAAATGAACAAAGAGGAAAGAACGTAAGTTTACACTTGGGCTGGGGATTTAGCTCAGTGCTGCCCGACCTGCACCTGCTATGCAAGCGCAAAATCCTGCGTTTGATCCCTGATGCCAAAAAACAAAAGTTTAAAATAAAAAAGTTGACACTGAGGCATGGAGTAAATTTCACTACCTTATCATAATAAAGAAAATACTGGAACTAAGTTCTTTAGATTCCTGACATGATTTAGATTTTTCCCCCTGTAAAATACATCAAAACCATTTTCTATGCCCATTCAATCTTAAATTGGGGCCACTTCCTTATTCCCTAGCTGAAACAATGAACTTCCTTTTTGGTATGATTTCAAATATGACCATAAATTTTTTTAAAAGGGTACCAAGCCGGGCATGGTGGCACATGCCTGTAATCCCAGCACTCGGAGGCTGAGGCGGGAGGATCGCTGTGGGTTTAAAACCAACCTGGGCTACATAGTGAGTTCCAGTTCAGTCTCAACTACATAGTGAGACCCTGTGTCAAAACACCAAAGTCGGGGAAAAAAAAGGAGAGAGAACGCTGCTGCTTAATATTAGCAACTGGGCTAGGGGTGTAGCTCAGCCATAGAGAGCTTGCCTAGGAGTCCCTGGTTTCAATCTCTCAACACCACAAAAACAAAAGCATAAAAACATCATAAGCCTAAAGAGAATAATGTTAAGAATCACAAGTTTGACCGTGAGCCAAAACAAACCTTTCCTCTTTTTATTAAAAAAGTTTGGGCCAGCCTGGGCTACATAGCAAGTTCTACAAAAAGAGCCCGTCTTCCAAAATAAAAGGCAATTGGCCTGGCACTTTCCACTCAGCGAGCACATGGTCCAGAAACAGCCTAATATCACAAACACGCCACTCGCTTCGTTTGTCTCCCTTCTTTTAAGTCTCTCGCTGCCAGCATCTCACAGTGCAGAACGACTCTATACCGTTCAGATACTATGATTATTTGTATAATAAAGCCCTTAAAGATAAACTAATTAGTTTGTCTCACAATCACAGAAACAGTATTGTCTCAAAGCTAAAGGAAAAAGAAATGGAGCTCGATATTCTCAGACATAAAATGTCAATCTCAAAACTGTGCACTTTCCTAAAGAATTCTTATGGACAACTCTGACCATATGAAATGTCTGTCTCACAACCTGACTTTAAAACTTGACTCCCACGTGAGCCATATTTAAACTGCAAGAGGGAAAAATGTCCAGAGACACACGCAGAGGGCCCTACAAGTCCCCTGCTCCATGGTGACCTGCAGAAGAATCTGTCCAGATCACACCTGGGGATCTATTTATTCTACTGTGTAAACTAAACAAAATTAAGGTTCTTCACTCGAAAAAGCTCTGCAAAACAACTAATAATGCCACCTGCAAGTTTTCTCTGCAGGTATGCAGAGTACTAGGATCGCCTGGGAAAAGAACAGTTGAGTTTCTAGTTTTTCTGGTTTTGTTTTAGCCTAAGTGTGCAAGGGAACAAGAAACACCACTCCCTACTCTGAAGGCCTGAACCAAAGCTCTGCCCCACATAAACAGATGGAAAAGGAATAAAGGCGAGCAGGGTCCTCTCTACACAAGGCCTCCACTGACCTCTGGCCCTCGCTGCGGGCCTGCGAACAGGGTCTGAAGCCACTGCCCTGAACGGGCCACTGTCCTTCCCGTCTTAAGCCACCCGAGGGCCCACGTCTGAGAGCTGGCTCCTGCGAGCGACTCTGGTTAATAACAGCAAAGAACACGCTACAGCAAAAAAAGCTGGGAAGCTGCAAGAACTAAGGGGAAGGAGGCGGGTTGGAAGGGGAGGACCGCCAAGTTGCAACCCAGCTCTTCTCGCGCCGTCTGTTGCAACTATCCTCTCCCGTTCAGGGCTGCCCTCCTCACCTCCTGACACCTCATGCCGTCTTTTCTTAGTTTATCTTTGAAAGGCACAGATACTAAAACGACAGTCCTCTGCCCCAAACAGCTAGCTCTATGTTCGACGCCTGGCCACGTCCTCCGTGGCCTCACAGAAGTTACTTTTGGTGTCTCTGTTTTTCCACTTGTAAAAATGGGTCTGATAGCAGCACGCACCCCGGAGGAGCGCAGGGGTGGTTAACTAGAATGATGAATAAGGGTTGCTTTGTAAAGTCCTGGCACCTAACGCTAGAAAACTACTATTGTGCGGCGCTCTTGCAACACTTCCCCTCCTCAGGAGCCCGCCCCTCACGTACGCCTCCCCCAGACCCCGAGAACCTCCCACGCCCTTTCACCTCACGCTCCTCTCTTCGGGAAAGG